AGCAATTATGTTTATTTTTATATTAAAAATTGTTATCCAACATAACATAGATTTAAAGCACTTTATATAATACACAACCTTATTCCCACTTACTCGAAAAATTAGACAGAATGCAATTGAAAAAGGAATACGAATGTTTTGAGAAATATAATTACAGAATTAGAAACGAAACATGGATTGCATACATACAATAAGCACCATGTGAAGGGTAATTTCGTTTTTGTTATTATTTTATGAAAGTATTAAAATGATATTTTCCACACTTTTCTTCAAGAAAACTTTTGTTAAATATGGAAATGGGTTTTCAACTACTGCATATTTTATTTTGATAATTTCCCTATTTTAAAATATACTATTAACAAGTTAAGGTAGACGCTAAAATGGTTTTAGCTTATACGTATTTCATAAGAATTAAATTGGGAACAAAAATATTCTGCAGTTTATTCTGAATTTTATAATATTAAACGTAAAGGTTTAAGTCTTACTCTGTCAGTTGCAAAGTTTGGTGTTCCATCATCCTGCGTTATTCCCATGGTCCACTTGACATACGTCGCGAACCCTGTACATATCTGAAAATAATATAAGCAATTAGGAAATATGATAAACTGAAGAATTGTTAAATATATTGATTTTAATAAACAAGCACCAACATGTGAAAAAATATTTTCCTTTTAGTCGGTGTCAAAAATCTCAATAGAGTTGTGCAAGATAATGAATATTCAACAGAAAATTACAGAAGAAACGAAAAATACGTGTGTTAAACAGCACTTGATCTAGCAGCAAATAGTCATAACAATAAGGATAGGACAGCTCGCGTAGAATAACTCAGCTTCATAGACTTAAGGTCATATCAAAATCATTCTCCATATTTAGTACATTTCTGGCAATATTTTCGAACGTTTCAGGTTTAAATTCGTATTGTATATTAGGTAACCAAGAAAAATCGTGCGACTTTCGTCCAGCAACATAAACGATTGGACCAAAGTCTTAAACACCCATTTTATTCTTCAAAGTAATCACTATTAGATTGAATTAAATGTTCCAATAAGACACAAGCTTATAAATGCCATTTTTGCAAAAACACTTTTTTCTGGAGTCCATAAATCGTGATACAGTCTTTGTGACAGCGTCGCATTTTCGGAACTGCTGTTCCCGCAGGTTTAGTTAAAAGTTCAATGAAACGATGTCGGAGAATAGGGTGGTTGAGGCAAAACTTCCCAGCCTAGTGTTTTGATCACCCCTTTGGTCGCTTTTGCCGTATGAGGTCCGGTATCTCATATAGAAGGATAACTCCTCTTCTATTGACTAATGCTGGTTGCTTCTGCTGCAATGCAGCTGAAACTCGAGTAGACCTCGTCTGTCATGGTTTTTCTGCTTTCGAGATATTCATCTTGGACTATGCCAGAGCTGGTCCACCAAACACATAGCATTAGCTTCTTTTGGTGAATTTCCGGTTTAAAGGCCCGACTAAACCATGTCTGACACGGAGATTGAACCTGAAGTCGACCAATAATATTTCCTCTTCTGGTTATCATACACGATCTATTTTTCATCACATATCAAGATTTAGTCTAGAAACTAGGCTTTATTATTGCGCGACAGCAACGACAAGTAGATATTCAACAGATATTCTTTTTTCCTCGGACGTAATATGAACAACCCACTTGCTTAGTGTCCATGTCATTCTACGGTTATGAAGATTTGATCGAATGATTTCATCAGATACTCCAAAACCGTGTGCTACTTACTGGCAGGTTTGATGAGGATTTTCCTTGATTTTCTCTTCCAGCTGTACTTTGTCGAAGGTGGATAGACGGCCAACACGAATCTCCCGAAGAAAATATGCTGAACCACTTTTGAGCAGTCTTTTCACTCACTGATATCTCTGCAAAAGCGCAACATATTCTTCTAGCGAGCCTCTGCAACTTTGTTTTCCAATTTGTACTCGTAAAGTAAAATAGGTCTGAAAATCTCCTTTTCCAGCAAGATATTCATCCGAAGATTACTCTTCCTACAAAATCCATAGCGAAACATGCGATGCACTTGTAAGGTTTCCCTTATTTTGCATAACAAGTTAAGTTTGATACCTTTCCTTAACCTCTCATTTTCCCCTCTCCTTTCCTTGTCAGGATGTAAATTTAAATTTAAGTGAAGTGAGATTTTAACAGGTGAATCTCTGAGTTTAGTCAAAGCGTGTTTTCGCTAGCCAGCGCAAATTTCGTTCCTGACATTGTTGTTACTCTAGTACGCCCCTTGGCCATTTCGAATAATTGTCACGCCTGCTAGGTTTTGTTGAATCAACCTAAGTTAGCCATACTTTAACGTGCTAATCCAGCATTATTCTATTTAGACTTGAATTTGATCGTGTAATAACGTTTAAGTTCCACCGCAAGTAATCGGTGTTATCGTAAAGCACGAAGTACTCGACTGTTAAAGTAGTTGGAATTAATAAAGGGTTATTTTCACCCTTCCTCTGTTTTGGTATCTACTTCACGCCTGTGCGAGAATTCGCCAGGTTCATTGTAGGATCTAGTTTAGTTTATGTGGAAAAGGAGAGACAGATCTTATACACTGAACAATTCTACTGAATAAAATCTGAAAGGAATGTAATAAATATGACGTCATCAGAATCAATATGATCACACTCTAAGGCGCAAATTACAACTGTTCTCAAAAAGGGCACGAACTTTCTTGATTACGAGGTAGCTAGTAATCGGTTGAAAATATTCCAGTTATATTCTTATTTCACTTATAGCGAAAGAAATGCATTCTCTTTTTCTACGGAATTTTGAATTTAAAATAAAAATAAAAATAGTATCAATTTTGATACGGATTAAAATGACAAGTTTTTTTCACAAAATTTATAAAATTTTCATTAGATTATTATTATTATGTTAAATTTTAAATGGTTTAATAATATATATGTTTAGTAATTAAACATATGTCTAATGTGTTTAGTAATTAATGTTAATAGATTAGATATTAAAATCTTTTGATGGGACTGTTTATACATCTCCGTTTCAGTAAACCAACCGAAGAAGCAATTATAAGACATTTCCATTACCTAATACTTCGAATGCAAAAAACATTCTAGACGAAGCTTAAATGAGCTAATCTCATTTCTTCTACAATTAATGAGTAAGTCAGATAATCAAGCTGCACTCTCGGATACATTTTCCCAATTAATTATGATATCCTGTTGCGTAGATATTCATTGTTTAATGCAAGAGAACTTGGATCCTTAATAACTGAATAAATTGTCTTCCTTTATAAACCTGAGAAAATTCATTAAATGCAACATCTTTTGGTACAGAGAAAAAACACAGAGCTTTTTTCACATAAGTGTAAGGCACTATTTCAATTAGTACAGAATAGTAGACTGCAACTTTCTGAAAGTATAATGGAAGGGATATGAGTAATTACTTCTTCAAATTTGACATTCCATTTCAGATTCTTTAAATAGTAATTTTTCAATACAAAATTCCTTATTTATATCTCAACACTAATCATCGGATAGAATTTTAATGAAGCATTTTGGAGTTGCAATGTAACTGTTGAATGAAAGTTTTAACAACATTAAGAACTTTTAAAAATCAAAATAAAATGCTTAGAAGTTACTTTGTTAAGAACCGTTTTTGTTTACTATTTACTGCGGCTGGTGGTATACAATTTACTGCATTTTTTAGTAACTCGCCTTTAGAAACATTGCTTTTAGTTAAATGAATACACTGTCTTGGAAAGAAAAGTATCTTGTTAGAAGCAATACATTTCATCATTAACACATAGCTAAATTATTTTTAAAAGAAAAAACTAAAATAAAGAATCAAATAGCGTTTTTGTCTTAAAATTTTAAGTAAAATATTTTTTTTTTTCATTTTTACAAATTTCATATAATTAACTCTCGATTCATACTTGCCTAAGGAAAAATGTAATTTAGGTTTTTTACAAGACTGCAGAAGAAATTAAGAAAGTTTTTAGAAAACAGATAAACAAATATAAACTTTTTGTCAAGAACTAACTAGTTAAGGAATGAGATCGTTACTCCTGAGTACGCAAGTGTCCTCTGGAAATGCAGCTGAATATGATGCTTGTTAATATGTGTGGAACGAAAGCAATTTTTTTTCATATACGAATTTTAGCATTTCACTTAAATCAGAACTACAGCTATAAAAAGTTTCATAATTTTTAGGTTTTTATGTTGATTTTATGGTTTAAGAATAAAACAAAAGATAAAGTAATCTGAAAATTCAACAGAGAGTAATGAAAAAAATGAAACAGAGTTGCGCGGGTAGCCCACAAAAAATAATAAATTGCTCTAACAGCGAGCGTAGTTGCCAACCACCTAGAAACATTTTGCAAAAGAAATATCGCATCATTTTGTCATCCTTCTACACTGATGAGACGAAATATTACGATCATCCCCCAGTTTTTCAATGAATTCCTTTGGATGATGTGGAGGGCTTGTGACTAAGTTGGAATAGTATTTTAATTGCTGCTGGAGAAGGTAAGAAGTTAGTCTTTCACTTACATTTGCGAGTGATCGGAAAGGCTGGTGATCTATGCGAATTTGATAGAGGGACAGACTGTAATGGCCTGAAGACTCAGAACGAATATCTCCGAAATTGCACGACTGGTAGGTTGTTTAGGATCTGCCGTTGTTCGTATTTATGCAAAGTGGATAAACGGCGGTGAAACAAGCAGTATATGCCAATGTGTTGGAAGTCCACGTGTCATCAAAGAAAAAGAATGTCGAACACAGTACAAGTAGGCACCCCACTCGTGTACCTCTGTTTACCAAGCGGCATTGTCAATTACGCCTGCAGTGAGTCCGGAAATATCGAGACTGGACCATGGGAAAGTGAAAGGCAGTTGTCTGGTTGGATGAATCACGATTTCTCATTTATCCCGTCGGTGGTCGTATCAGGCTATATCGTCTTCCAATCAAACAGCTACTCCTACCCCTGTACAAGAGGTCATACGCAGGCTGGTAGTGGCGGTATTATGCTTTGGGGATGTTTTCATGGGCAGCTCTGGGACCCTTAGGTGAGGTAGAACAGACCATAAAAGCTGCGGACTATCTGGAAAAAAAAACTGTTGATCAGTTGCACCCTGTCTGTCTTCCCAACTGGAAATGGAATCTTCCAGCAGGACAACGCTCCTTGTCACAAGGCTCGAATTCTGTTGGAGTGGTTCGAGGAGGATAAGGATGAATTCCAATTAATGTCCTGGCCACTTAACTCAGCGGACCCTAACCCGACAGAGCACATTTGATATATCATGGAGCGGGGGCTCAAACACTACCATGTCAGAATATCTTGACTTTGCGTGACCGCTGCTTAGACATTTGGTACGACAGTAAAATCTACCGTTATGTACCAAGAATTTGTAGCATGCTTGCCAAGGCGAGTTGCAGCTGTTTTGAAAGCCAAAGCTAGCGCAACGAGTTATTGAATAGATGGTCATAATGTTTTCGCTCTTCAGTGTAGTATACAGTGAAGAAGTGACATTTCATTTACACGGAAAGGTAAACTGTCCTCTGAGTCCCTTCAAAGGCAAAGTTGTATGGATCATTTTTTGGGGGGAGAGAAAGCATTGTGATGGTGGATTCTGTCTTGATTTATTACAGTCACACTATTTCCTCAAACTAAAACTGATCCAGAAAACATTTATATTCCAGCAAAATGCGTTCTCTCATTGCCACATTGAGGTAAGTCGCTATCTGAATGTGAACACCAAAGGTTTTGGCTTTGCAAATATAAGGAATATTAATTACCATTATTCAGTCGGCCACTAAGATGTCCCGACCGTGATGTGTTTTCGCCTCGGGTAGTAAATTAAAGACAATGTTTATGTGGCACCACAGCTAACAACTTTACAACTTCAGGACTATACAGCTAACTCGGTGATAGTAACAAGGAAAACGTGTGAAGTACCGATGGGGCACGTTTCGTGCAACAAGGAAAGCTCACGCCGAAAATGTATAGTCTTGCAACTAACATTTTAAATATTTTACATTATTTTATGCAATTCTAATTTTTATTGCAACACTGCATGCAATTTCAATACATTTTTATTGCAATACATTCATGAAATACAGCGTTTTGAACTCTCATGAATTATTTATAATACCAGTTTGCATACTTTCCAAAAAAGTAATTCCACCAAGATTTTTCCGAATTGATTATAAATGAGAAAAATGTGACGAGAGTATAACGGTTTGCAATGAGCCAATCAAGCAGTCATTGTGCTGTTTCTTAGAAATTCACTAAGCAGCTGATTTTGGGTGTATGTGGGGGGATTAGTCTGCATTAATTTTTTTTTCTTCTTTTCGTTGCATGTCTTATAAATATAAGGTAAGTTTTCTATAATTTTCAACATTATAATAGTATGAGAAAGTTAGAAATACATTTAAGTTTCTTTTAATATTTACTTTCTTTTGAATTTCAACAAAAGAATGTACTTTGCATGATCACGCTTATCAGCTTATTTCCAGAAAGTCAAATTTTTAACCGCGCAGAACCAATGAATTAAAGAAAATGGAAAAAGTATAAGCATACCTGAACAGTTATTAGGCAAAAATCTTCTGCTGTGAAAGTTCTTTGAGTTGTGTTGCAAGAGAGGTGAGATGATAGGTGGCTGATGAGGAGATGAACCCTTTTTCATTTCCGACAGTAGAGGAATCATGACACAGGGCGAACCACCCCCATTCAGTGGATCCAATTCATTCGGAGCTGCGGGCAGAATAGGAGTTATGCTACTACACATGTTGCTGTCACCAGATGGTCCTCTCACGTCGAAACTTGAAAAGAAGAAAATTTAGTTTTGCTTAAAATTTAAAATCGGATTTGCGGCTCTTAAAACAAAATGAAAATTTTGCAAACTAGAAATGATTTTTAAAACATGTTTCATTTACATATTTCAACAAAATAAAATAATGATTTTTTCTGAAGTATGAATAACTATCTTTTTATGATTAAAAGTTGAAAGTTTTATGTCCACTGCAAAGCATTTGCGTGTTCATTTCAGTTACATCCAGAAATATAGCGCTTAAGAATCTTTGAAGTTAGTTTCCAGATTACTTCTTTGCGAAGTATGCTGTGATTTCAATTTCTTTATATCTACCAGAAATTCTAAAGTTTTAATATTTGAGATCATCTGCTTAGAATCTCATTAATTCATGAATAAGTTCAATTTAAATTTTATCAAAGTTTCAAAAATTATTTAAGGAATAACTAAGTGTTAATCTGGTTTGGATTTCGTATTATTAATAATAGACGATCTCCTTTTAACTCCGAGCTTCTCTTTTTTGCATTATGTTGATTTCATTCCTAATTTGAAAATGATTTGGAATAGTTTTTTAGAATAATGAAATTAACAGAAATTTTCACCGAAGATTTTTTTTTTTTTTTTTTTTTTTTTGCGCAATGAAAATAAAATTTTTATTGGTATTGGATTGAATTAATTTTATATTAATATGTCTGCAGTTCTACACAACTTCGTCTTTTTTACAAACGTAAGGAAAACTCATTAAATTGATATAAATCAAAATGCTATTTTTATTAGGTTTTCACAGTTATTACTCCATAATATTTATGGATCGAAAATAAAATACTAAAATAAGCAAGAAATAACCAACGTTCATGGAAGCCTGATATAAGCATCTTATGGAAGAGCTCTCAGTAGTAGACAGATATGGTCAAAACCCCGAATAAGAGGGTTCGGTTTAGATCCCTGATTCGACCTATTTCCTTCATTTTGATAATTATAGCTATATCATTTTACTTTCGATCCCGATGATGCATCTTAATGTTCAGCATTTAATGATAAATAATTAAACATGGACCACTAGATGATAGACAGTTGAGTCCCTTTTATAGCATGATATATAATGAAAATAATGCAAATAAGTTCTAGAAAAGGGCTTAATTGTCAAGTATGAGAAGAAAACCAAGCTTCTTTTGGATAATTTATTTGCATTATTTTCGACATGGTTCTGTGTTTGCCGGTGTACATTGGCAGTATTAATGCAGGTTCGAACTTGAGCAAATTTCACATTTTCCTCATTTTTACGAAGTAGATAACTTATATATATATATATATATATATATAAATTAATAAATAAATAAAAAACTGAAAAGGTTTTAGATTTTAAATTACATCCAAAGAGGCTTTTTTTTTAACGTTTTATGCGTTACATTTATTTATTAAGTATCCTGTTCTACGTACTCAAAGTATAAAATTCAGTTCAACAGAGATATCGCAAATTAATTTTAAAATGAGCATATGTTTAGATTTCCCGATACCGAGTCTCGCGTGCTGGAGATAATTTTTTTTCGTACAGTATTGCCATTGCTCGTTTTGAAATCGTTTAGTTTTTTAATCAAAAATTCGTTGAAGTGTTACAAAATCTGAAATCGATAATAAGACAAATTTAGAATTTAAATTAGGGCTTCCACATGACCATATCTTTGGAAGATTACGTTATTTAAATTTTGACGGCTCTAGGTACTGTTGTTTTATCATAAAGCGAGAAACATATACACATTTATGCAGATTCTTCATTATTTAATTTCTTTAAATATAATAGAAGGCGGTAATATTTAGTGGCAACAACCTGAAAACTATTTCGCCGTTTATAGTTTTCAACGCAAAATACCAAAACGAAATTAATAGTTCTTCAGGGTAAATTGCTACTTTGGACTAAAAATGCTAAATTTATAATTCGTTACAACCAAACTCCATTAGCCAGACCATTCAGGCACAGTAAAACAAATTTTGCATTTTCAAGGGTGAAAAAATTGGAAACATTTTATCCAAAATTGTATACGAGATGAAAAACATAGTGAGTGATGTCATTCAACTGTCAATGCTGTATTTAAAGAAACTACTTAAATTAACAGATTATTTCAAATATTTATATTGAAAAAAAATAATTGAATTTTTAATTAAGTATTAAAATCACTAGGAAAATGTTTTTTTATCATTCCTAGTGTTTGACCTTATTATTCGTTATTGGTAACAAAAAGAACACTAACATTATAATGCGTCAGATAAACGGTACAATTTGAATATAAGGTAAGAAGAATTTCGTCGCAAATATTTTGGCTGGGTTCCAGTTAGTGTATTTATGATATTAAAAGAAAACGATAATAAAGAAATAACACCGAAAACAAACGAGTACAATGCTTAAAAATTTAACTTTGCCTTAGATAACATTATACAGAATAAAAAGCTAGAAAAGTCTTTTAAATAAATTTAAGTCTAGCCGAATAATTCGATATATTTTCAGATGCGCACATCTATTAGTTCCAACTTGAATGCACGCTGCTGTGCAAACACATTTCTGTGATCAATATATAATATGCGAATACAGTTACAATAATTCAATTATTAAATTCAAATTATTAAAAATTTATTAGAGTTTTTAAATTGATGCTTTTAAATATTATTTATAAAAACTTACTTTTGCCTTTCATCCATATCTGGTTTGTCAATTGCTAAAAGAGAAAAAAGGAAAAATTAGAAATACCATCATTATGCTTCAAATATTAATAGTTATATATATATATATAAAGAGTAGTAAATGTAAAGTGAGATGCAGCTAAAATTTATTCTATATTGTAAAAGTATATTGTTCTTTTCCTAATTTCAGAAAAGGTAGAAACAAACTTTTACTTCACAGCAGAAATTATTAAAGAAATTCGAAAATAAAATTTCAGTGGAATAACGTCCAGCTATATGAAGTAGTCACAGATACTATGATTTAGTAATCAGTTACTTACTCAGAGAAAAAAATTCAGCTTATCTGTAAAAATCTGAACATTTATTTTTGTAGACAGAAAATTTTAAATTCTTACACATTTTAAAGTATTAATTAATACATGTTAAATTATTACTAATATACATTTTAAATTATTATATCTTCTTTTCTTATAAAATTTTCGTAAAAACATTTTGTTATACAGAATGACAACGATCCATATAATTTAAATTATAACTTTTTGCTCTTTCTACTTTTTCTTTACATAGGTTTAAAATATTCATTACTATGATCCTATGGAGATGAAAATGATTTATTTAAGCAGTAATAAAATTGTTTTAATGACATATTTTAATATACTATTAGCAGTTTATTTTTAATTATATTTTATTTTATAGTATTTCATGGCTTTTAAATATCAAATATGTTTCGCTGCAGGTTATTTTTTATTCAGAGTAATATGTTCAGATGGACTTATATTCTATCATATATGTTCGTAGCTGAATATTAGTCGATTAGAATATTATTCAAATGTTATTAAATTAAGATGCAATTGTAATTGCAGTCATTGACAATGAAATTTGAATTACAATTAGTATGGCTAATTATAAAACTGCAGTTATGTTTAATTACAATATAATTCCAATTATATCACTTTGTACAATTGTAGTCAACAGAATTACAGTGTAACTCTATATTTATTATGAAATTTAAATTTCAGTAAAGTTGCGATTGAATATCTTTGCAAGTGTTTCTTGTATAAATTGTAATTTTAAATTGTGAGCATACTTGTATGCATGGAATGGTTTGGCTTCTTTTAGTTTACTATGGCAAAGCACACTAGGGCTATCCGTCTAAGGAAAGGGATGCCTTCACTATACATGGTGAAAACTACAAAAACGCCCATGCAGCCTGTCCGTTCTCTTGGATTCGAACCCAGGTAGCAACTACCAGGATTGACCGATTTTACCGCTAGGCCACTGAGGGCCTTATATGCATGGGATCTTTAATAGTTAACATATATGAACTCTTAATTACAACTAAAATAAAAATATTATTTCTTTAAATTAGGAGAGTGGATGTTTAATTTTAAATTATTTAAATTAATTCTTCAAAAGGCTCTAATCAAGAAAATGGATACCAAAATTTAATTACGTTTGCCCACTGTCCACTACAGCTCACGTACATCGTCTTCAGGACTTATATATATTCAACTTTATTTATCTTCTGTACATTTATAGTTTATTATCATCTGTGTATTTAATTATGGCAAAGCACACTAGGGCTATCTGCCTAAGGGGAGGGATGCCTTTCGTGGAGGACTTTCTAAGGGAAACTGGCTCGTATACACGTTACACATGGGGAAAACCACGAAAACGCCCATGCAGCCAGCCCGTTCGCGGGATTCGAAACTCGGACCGAACTACCAGTGTTCAGCGACTTTACCGCTCGGCCGCTGGTGGGCTTATTATCATCTGAATTGCACACATAGTCGTGTGTTTCGTATAGTGACATAACACTATTTCTCACACCGTTAAATGCAATGATATCCGTTTTACATAACAACAGAGACCAGATGTTTTATTCTCCGCTTTGATATCCGCTATGAATGACAACTAAAATGAGATTTGGAAAATGAAAGAAATAAATAAGTTGCTAACTTGTTCCAAACTTGCTCAAGTCAGGAACTTATTTATTTCGATTATTTATAATAATTATATAAGTTGTTATAGTTGCAATTTTTACTTAAAATTTACAAGTTGTTACAATTATAAGTTACAAGTTGTACTATCAGGTTCAATGTTCCTTCTAACCTTCTTCGGGAACATACAAGGACCTGACTCGGAACAGAGAGCTTACTAAAGCTGTGTTCACTAATTGTGGTAAGTCGACAGGATACAGACGAAGGGTATACAAAACCCTTTATTTTTCTCTATATACAATAACTTCCGTACTTCGGAATACACTGACCCTCCACTCGGGGTCTAACGTAAAAAAGTATAAAATAAAACTAAACTCTAATTTAACTTTAGAATAATACACGTGGAAGATTGGCCTTATAATAACAGGAAGCGTATGTAGCACACGTTTAATTTATCAAGAGGATTAAAACCTCTGGCCTGGAAGGCGAACAGCAACTGCGTAACTTCTAAGGTAAGCGGCCTGCGTTGACTTACTGCTTCCTCTCTTTCGCTTGGCAAAAAGGCCACACTTAAATACTTGGCGTTCGCCAGACAACTTTGCATAAAATCCTTCACGCTTATAATTCTGGCCGGAAAGTAGAAAATAAGAAGTGATAGTAAAGATTTAAAATAAAAAAACGTTAGTAAAACTTAAGATCCTTACATACTTCCCGCCAGAGTTAATTGTTTGAAACTGAGGTCTAAAACGACCTTGTTGAAAACTTTTAGCTCTAGAATGTAACGCGAGGCCAACCTTTTACAACCATAACTTAGCTAGAAACTAGAAAATTTAAAAGAAAGAAATTTGTTACAATAGCAGCTCCCAGGATATACAACAATCTTTTTTTCATCTGTACTGCATCTAAACAGGAGCTTTATTCAATTCTGGTTCCTTCCAGAGATCTGGAAGGAAAACTAGTTTAATGAAATGTTACAGAATGACATTGCAAATAACGTATAGAATATACTTCTCTTAACATTCTTATTTCATTCATGACTATTTTAATTATCTCTATCCCGTGCTCTCTGAATGTGTTGTAAAAAAACACCAAACACAAATGTGGTTTCTGTCTACGTGTGCCCACTTCCTCCTACAATCAAAACAGTAACGTGTTAAAATTCAACATAACGAGACCTCTTAACACACCCTACTTTCAAACTCTAACCCTGAGGTACTATTCTAAAAGTGGCTAATTCTAAAGTGTAGCGTCAGAGAGCCTAACTACATCATTCACCTTTACCACATATTCGCCATGATTTTAATCTTTACAGTCACACGAATAACAAATTTTTAACATTACTTTCACTTTTACCATATCACGGTATTTTCTTAACATTTAAAATAACAGTTCACATGTATATAAGAACATATCAACATGCGGTTAATTTTACACATTCGAAAACATACATTAGTAGTACATTGTTAACTTCTATTCTTTTCAAAGCAAGTGCCAATTCTTTCTACATTGACATAATGCATTTCAAAAAGTCTTTCAGACTAAAACTTCTCTCTGCTAAAATGTTTTAAATAAAATTTTACAATAACTTTTTTTACAATATTAAGTTTTTACACAACGCTATATACATCAACTTTAGTTTTACCGCGAGTAATTAAACCTAATAAGAAATCGGTCACAACTCATTTCTCGCCCTTTTGGCGATAAAGATAGACCTCGCATGAGGTAAAACTTCTTGAAATCTGCCACTTGCAGTAAGAATGAAATTAACTTAAGTTTGCAAAGTAACATAAAATTTACTTATCTTGTAATATTCGGACATCCTTTTCTGGGCCCAGTCTTTAAAGGTACTGCAGACAGTAGCTTGGTTTATCCTCCTTCTGTACGGGCTCGCCCTTCAGTGCTTTCCTCTGGAAGCTTCCTTTTCTCCCCAGTACGGCCACCTTGAATACTTTCCTTTTCTCCCTGCTTGTGGTCTTTGCCGTTTGATGGCAGCTGGTCTTGGCGGAACCGGGAAACTTCTGTCGTGACCTGCTTGGACCTCGTTGTTGGCCGTTCAAATTTTCTTGTACTTTTTCCTCCGCCGCTGATGGCCCTTCCGCAGTTCGGCGACTTTTCTGCGGAGAGTTCTGTCGGATGAATAGATCTTCTTTTAAAGCCGGGTTATAGTTGCGTCATTTCTCCTGGTCCTCTTCACATACGTCGTCCTTCTCCCTTCTTCATTCTGGGGTGTTCGTGAACTTTGTTTTCTGGACGGTGGAACGGCTTCTTTTTTTGTTACCTTCCATTTTTCCGCGGGCAATTTCTTTTCACTTGCTTCTGTCTCTCATTGGCTTGCCCTTGTACTTGTTTTTTCACCTCTGGAACTGTACCACCTGCGGTGTCTGCCGCCGGATCCTGCAAAAGATCTGAAAAGATTTGCATTTTATTACGATCGAAGTAGGGCTTGATTTGATCAATGTTTGCGGAACAGGTTTCACCTCTTCTAGCTTTACACTACAACAGCGTGAGTTATTTTTTCTATAACATATGGTCCTTCAAATCGTGGAAAAAATTTGGCAGTTTTATCTTCTGGTGCTGAAGAAAGTGAATGCTTAATTTTTAAAACTTATCCCTACTTATAGTTACTCCCCGTCGTTTCAAATCATAATATAATTTCTGTTTTCTTTGTGCTACTTCGTATTCTTTTTTGCTTCTTTATTAGTTTTTCTATATCCACCCATTTTAAATTCTGGGGCTCTTTGTTGCACATAAATAGTTTATCTAACGGTGTTATAATCTTTCTGCCTAAAATAACTCAGCAGGAGATTTGCCCGTTGTATCATGTTTTGCGTCCTAAGGGCGAAAGCAAATTCATTGACATAGTTATCCCGCTTTTATGAAAATTTTTAACATAACTACGGATAATTTTCACTATATTTCTGTTGACCCGTTTCGCTATATTTGATTGCGGCCGACGGGACCATTTTTAAATGACGTATGCCCAGTTTTTGGCACATGTCTTCAAATATATTACTTACAATTGAGGACCATTATCCGATATAACTTTTAGGGGCGCCCCGTATTTTAAAATATATTTATTTAAAATAGAATCGGTA